CCCATAATAATAAGCCATAAGTCATTAAGCTATGAAAGTAACTAAAATAAACAAGTCTAGCTGTATCGACATCAGTTAGTAAGCGAATTTTTTTAACCGCGTAGGCTGCAGAACTAAGTCTCTTCGCCAATCCGTTAATATGAGGGGACCACTGAAGTTTTGAATCCATGGTGATTCCGAGAAATACAGTTGTATCATCCAGATTCAATTCCTCACCGTTTATAATTGGTCTAGTATCCATAACCCTTGCATTAAAAATTTAATGCATTTTGTCTTTTTTGCATTAAGTAGAAGGTTATTCATACTAAACCAATGGACAATCGAAGACAGAGCATTGTTCACATCGTCAAAATTTGTTATTTGTCGTTTGATTTTAAAAATCAAGGACGTGTCATCAGCAAACAAAACTATCTGATGTTTTCTCTCTACCATGAAAGGTAGATCATTTATATAAACAAGAAAGAGGAAAGGGCCAAGAATTGAGCCCTGTGGTACCCCATATCTACTGCCGACCCAGAGGACCTCTTACCATTCACTTCAACCTTCTGAGTTCTTCCGTGTAAATAGGAAGTCAGAAGATTCAGTGCGGTATTCTTGATGCCATAGTGGCGGAGTTTCCCGATTAAGGTCTCGTGTTGGACACAATCAAATACTTTGGATAAGTCGCAGAAAACACCTAAAGCGTCATGCGACTCCTCCCAAGCCTTAACTATATATCTATATAACTCAACACCGGCATCGGCTGTCGAGCGACCCTTGGTAAAACCGAACTGATTATTATGTAATAATTTGTTTACGTTAAAATGACTTACCAGTTGATTTAATATAATTTTTTCAAATATTTTACTACAAGTAGGTAGTACGGAAATTGGTCTAAAGTTACTGGGGTCGGACATACTACCTGCTTTAAATAAAGGAATAACTTTACTATGTTTCGTTAAGATGGGGAGCAATTACATCAATTATGCTACTAATTATTTTTACAGAAATACCCCAAAGATCGGTAGTGTTCTTAATATCTATGGTTCTAAATATCCTCACTATATCGTCGGCACCAATGGGTCGGAATGAAAAACTGACCTTGCACTCGTTTACATTATCTTTGAGCAGCGATTCGGCGAGGGCGGGAGATGATTGAAGAGACTTAGTAGTCGAAATTGGAATGTCAGAAAAGTACTTATCAAAAACAATCGCTATCTCTTCGTTAGATTTGATTATAGTGTTATCGACACATAGTTCGATGTCTTGATTGCGATCCCTGACTCTTCCAGTTTCACTATCAATTATCTTCCAAGTCATTTTAGTTTTATTGGTACTATTTTTAATCTTGTTTTTGATATTTAAGGACTTGGCCGCGTAACAAACTTTCTTAAATAATTTCGAATAATTTCGAACATAAAGAATAAATTCTTCATTATGATTGTATGACTTTTCAGCGTAAAGGTCATACAACCGTTGTCTACTTTTATAAATTCCCGCTGTCGCCCAATCACTAAACGATTTACACTGCGAATGAGAGACTTTCTTTGAGGTAAAGATGGTGTTGAACTCTTTATTAATACAATCACTTAGATTGTTGTATTGTGTATCAACGGTAGTACCTACCGGTAATAAAGGTAGGCGTTTACCTATATTATGTCTAAATCTCACCATTCGCTTTTTATTCACTGGAACAAACACACTGCTCTTATTTACTTGTTTCACCACTTTACATTTTAGCGCCACTAACTGTCCACAATGATCTGAGCTAAGATCAGTTGTAATTGAGGTTTGCATTGCCTCTGCATCTGTAAATACATTATCTATACATGTAGCAGTGGAGCTTGTAATTCTAGTGGGCTCAAGAAACAAGTTAACAAGATTGTAAGATTTTAATAACAGATTGAATTTTTTACTAATGGAGGTATTTTCTAATAAATTTATATTGAAGTCACCACATACAATACTGTGATACTGTGACACCACATAATATACTTATTGTTCTTAAAACTAACTTTACACAAAATTTCCTCCAACTTTTCTTCAAAAAATTCGTAAGATGCACTTGGTGGTCTGTAAACACTTAAAATAATGCAATTCTCAATCTCTATACAGGCTACTTCCAAAGAGTGTTCTACAGACAGACACACGATGTCATTACGCTCTTTATACTTTAAATTTTTATTAACAATAATCAAAGAGCCCCCATGAATCGCCGACAATCTGCAAAACGAACTTGCAACTTGGTGCTGATCAAAGTTAAAGATGATTTGGCATTCTCTAAGCCAATGTTCGGTAATGCATAGGACATCAATTTTACTTGATTTTAAAAACAACTCCAATTCTAATTCTTTGCCCAACATACCTTGCATGTTTTGATGCATCAAGTTTAAACAGTTGTTGTTAGTAATATAACATGTTTGTGTTGAGCTGAGTTGTACTAAATTATTGCTAGAGTTTGCCTCTATTGTCACACTATCTAATTTAAATTATTTATACTTAATGAAGTGCTACTGCAAGTATCACTACATTCACTTAAGCTAAGCTGCTCAATAGAAGCAGTTGTCTGAAAAGCTAGCTGCTCAATAGAAGCAGTTGTCTGAAAAGCTAAATGTTTAGCTTTAGTTGTAAATAAAAAGTAAGATAGCATAGTAGCTATCTGTTGTAAATAATAATTAGGTAAGCGGAACCTATCCTTTGTCAATACATACTTATTTTTAAATATACAATTTATGTCCATTAAATTAGGTAGTGTACCTAAGCCACAATTTAATTGTATATTGTTAGTAGTTAACGTATTGTGCAACAACATGTTTAACTTATATCTAATTTTATTTTCCTTTGGTGCACCTTTGATGTAAGGAAATGTATGCAAGACAATATTCTCTACATTAAGGAATCTGTTAAGGAATCTTGCCCAATATTTTTTATTATACCACTAAAATATGGTACTTATAAAAAAGGGCCATTTATTACCCAAGCGTGATTTAAGGTTGTATCTACACATCCTCAGTGTAAAGCAGAAAAGGTTTATGAATATAAGGTAAGAAAAGAACATTAAAATACTAATACCAGCAGAGTTTAATTAACTTAGTGTATGTTGGTTAGGAGGTGTTGGGTTCGATTTCCGAGAAATTAAATTATTCATAAATGTCCCTTCCGCATCATTTAGTTAACGAATTACGTAGATCATCTGTAAATTTTATTCATTTATTGCTCACTCTTGTCAATTTAGGGTCGCCTGTTAGGGCAGAAGTGTTTTTATAAAGAAATAAATATATTTTCAATAGCGTTGTTGACATTTTATTTAAGTAAAGGGGAATGGGAAAATAAAACCAATATTAATTTATTTATTTTATTAATTCTAAACATAACTTATTACGATATAATACATCAGTCTTTTGTAAAATAGAATTCATTACATTGAAAACTGTACTTCAATTTCTGAAAACGTGTATAACATTATAATACAGGTACATTTAAACATATAAAAGAGATAGGCTGTATTTTTGCTTTTTCTACTTTTATTAATATTACATACTTTTCTTTTTTTGCGACTGAGGCGCAAACTAGCTGTTGTGGTCTCTGGTAGAATGACTAGAGGCCAATTACCTCCACAACACACACACATTAAACACTACACTACACACCCTTTTTTTCTTTCCATAATTTTTATTTGTTGATTATTATTGTAATTATTTTGTATATTACTGTGTGTGTTTTGTTAGTAGATATTAACGAAACATGTTAAGCAAATTAATGTAAAGCAAATCATTATTAAACCGATTTTCAGAAACTGGAGTAAAACTATTATCTATTTAAACAGAGTAATAAAAACTTTATCTAACATTAATTTGGCAAAGAGTTTAAAAACATTTAACTATTTTCAACTACTTTATACAATAAGTTCCAAATTTGAAATATTGAATTCGGATACGCGCGTTAACCTAAATTAACACTTGACATACTCAAATTTCACGGTAATTAATTTGTCACATTCATAGTGAAGACAGCAGTTAAACTAATAACGTATGAGTAAAATATATTTAACTAACACTGATTGCACAGTAAAATAAAATGACCCCTTACTTATAACGGCGTGTCCTGGCTTCGTCAGGCTGGATTTTATTAAATAATTTGGCAATGCATAAAACTTATTACTGGGACAATGTAGCAGTCTAGTGAAAGAGTTTTTGAAATGAGTGTGTCATGAAATAGTTAGTTTTTAGTACTATATTTGAATCTCTGTTGCGTATTTAAAAAGATATTTCTAATTTACGTTGAGTTATAAATTATAGAAATTATTCAGTTTAATATACGATCAGCAATTCGGGCAAGTCCTATTCCAGACCTTGGTGCAACATAAATCTTAAAACAAAAGCCAAGCTCTTGCTACGAGTCCAATGGTAATTAAAATCTCTACTGGAATGTGATCCCTATTTACATATAGTGAACAAATATTTTATATAACAGATTAAGTGCTTATAAGTAAGGGGGTTATGTAAAGTTCTATACAACCTTATTTTATATTGAGACCTTGAGTTTAACTGTTAACCTATAAATATTGTAACACAACCTTAATATTTGCAGTGATATTTTATTGGCTTCAAGTGCATTTACCTTAAACAAAATATTCGTATTATTATACATATTTAACTACATTAATAGAACGTATCTAAAAAATCTGATAGAATTTACCAAGGCTAATTTGTTATTATGATTTTTTATACAACAGGGGGCAAACGGGAAGAAGGCAGCTGATGTTCAGTGTTATCGCCGCCCATGGACCAGATATCAGAAAGCACGCAAGTGCGTTGCCGGCCTTTTAAGAAGTGGTACACTTTTGTGAATATTGTAGTCTTAAGCGACTCATATTCAGATACTAGTAAGTACTGCCGTAATAGAACCTCAAAGGAGAGGACGACAATTAAATTAAAATAAACTGTACCTCGTCTTTCCGTTTTATCCGATGGTCCTTAACTCTTCTCCCCTTTCATTTTAAGTAGCATTTTTTCGCGTAGCTACCTGTGATGCGGGGTTCTACAGGTTTCTGAGGAAAAGCTTTTAGTTACGAAGAACATTTAAATTACTTTTCTTAACGATGAGGCATACGTCCGAAGTTATTCTTAGAAAAACTTATAAAATATATAAATTTCTGGTTTAAAACAAAAACCAATAATTTAGTGTATCTAGAGAACTAAACCTTTTGAGTTACTAATACTAGTGTAGTGAGTATAAGTGCAAGTGCGGTAGTCCAAATATTACAGAACACTAAGACTGTTAATGAACATTACTTTAAGTTTTTTTTTATTGTATGGGTGAGATTGTAATGATGTAAAGTCTTTTTGTGTTTTAAACAATATGCAATGAACTTACCACGTGAGCATTTACTTCCGCTGTATTTTGATATTGTGTCACTATCTTCACATTCAGAACACATTTGGAAACTTGTTTCTAAAAATAAATAAAAAACTTTAAACATTTTCCATCAATTGTATTTATTATTAATTTATTTATATATTAATACTTCGTTGCATTACAATATAAAAATTTAACAAAATTAAATGAAAAGGAGGGCAACTGGTTTTCTTATCCCTTATAGCGAACATATATAGTGAACTCGACAAACAATTCTTTTCAAATTATATAATTTGAATTTGTTACTTTAGTATCCGTAAATAAAAAAACAGAAAGTTTAAAGCGCCGATGTTTTTATTAATCTAGGAATCGTTAAACCATGTTATACCTGTATCACAATATTTGTGTTTATGGCCAATAGGAGGATCCTGGTTGTCAACATGCCCGAACGTTCTAAAGCCAACCGCAAATTGTGCGTATGGGCTTATTTCATATAGCTCTGTAGATATAATACAAAATTATTTCTAAAGCTGTACGCCTTAAAAATGTATAGCAAGTAGGTTAAATTTATAGCTAGAATAGTCGGTCAACTAAAGTACAAAGGTTTTCTTTGGAAATTATATTCATAAGTGGTAGTTTTTTGGCATAATACTATACAAAAGCGAATGCGATATTTCGTGATTCCGTTTTTAGTTCCGTGAATAGCTGAAAGGCTAAACATTTTTAGAAAGGCACATTAGGGGAATAATTAACATGATAACGCGAGGACTTTTTTAAGAGGAGATTGTGAACAAAACGTAGATCTGAATGGTGAGAACGTCGATAAATTAAATAACATTTAGTAAAAGATAATTGCGTAACACTGATTATCATAATACCCCGAGTAGTTTAGATCATAAACCGTTCTGTTGCACAGATCCCCTTATCAATGACGTTGCGCCTACTAAATGCTGTCTCCGACACTGTTCACAAAGTGAATTCACAGTAGCGATATTGTGTGTATGCTTTTAATATTATATACTTTGTTAATTTCATTTAATTTTTCTCAACATTATCGTATTGGCATGGTCTGTAAGGATCACCGGAGGTTTTTGAGTGAAACATGCCGTTGAGGTCCCGGTAGAATGCGACAGCGACCCCGGAGCCTCTGTAACGCGGCTTAGTCGGAACGACTCGAGGTGGTTTTAGTGGGTATTGCTCACCCAGTCTCTGAATAGCAGAGATTTTGGCGTGGGTCGAGTCCCACATACCCCTGTTCAGGGGATGCGCAAATCCATTTCCACCTCGGATATCAAAAAAAAATGGTCTGTAAGGATAATATATGTATTTCTGTAATAATTAAATAAAGATAAAATAGTCAATATTATTAAAAAGTTGATTGTCCACATTAATCATTAATAAGAAAGATTTTTAAAACTTACCGTGTTTGCCATTATTCCTCACTGGTATTGGTGTGCTATAAATTCTATTTTGTGCATTTATTGCATTTTCTTTCACAGCGCTGGTAAGGTTATTGTGCGACGCATTTGTAGTGAGATTACCATTCTCGGATTTATTATCTGTTGTTAGAGAATCTCTGTATTGTGTAAAGTTTCCAGTTCTAAAAATATTCAACTCAATAAATCCATTTAAATTAAATTGGACTAGACAATACAATGATTTTAAATGAATTAAGTTTGGTGGCAGTTTGGATATTTGAACATAAATAGCTGGGTAACAAACGACTTTAATGAAAGAAGATTCATAGAAAAGTAGGGAAGGGGATGACGGGTCTGGGCGTTACTGCATTCGATTTTTTGCATTTTCTGAGAAGATTTACTATGGTAATATATTATATATATATATATTTTTTTACCATAGGAAAGTAGAGATTTCTACGAATTGAAAGCACACCAACTTTTTGAAAAAAGCTAATATTTTGACGGGTGAATTTCGATTGAAAATTAGGGTGGTTTTTCGATATTAATTCAAAATACGGTGAAAAAATAAATATTTTTAATGAAATAAATTACAGCGCATTTGGTACATAGAAAGGTAAGTTTTCAACAAATTTCGTTAAAAAAAATTGTTTTGTAAAAGATAAAAATTAAAAACCAAAAACTTGGTTTTTTGAATTTTTCACATAAATTTTGAGGTTATGTGAAAAATGTGTAAATACAAAAGTTTTAGATCTTTTTATTATTATTATTTTTATTACCTACAACTTTGCCATTTAACTTTCTTCGATAGGACTTTTAGTTTTGCCGGAAATCGAGATAAACCGTTTTTTACCCTTAAAACTCCCCCCCTACCCCTTCCCGACCTCAGATCGCCAGTAAATTATTTTTCCTTTAATTTTTATAATATTCTCCTCCTTTTCCAATAGGTTTCATCCTACTTTTATTTTTTTAGGTTACAAAAATTATCGGCACTGGTCTATTTTGGCGCGTTAAGGAAAAATTATGAGAGTAAATTTTTACGATGCGCGCGCACTCCGACATAAACACCGACCGCGACACCCTAAAGTAGCTAAAGTCAACATTTTAGTTTGTAAATTTTTCACTATTGTTAGTGTCGTGTTTTCTAAAAACGTAGAATAAGGCGAAAGATACCCATTTGAAAAGGTTTTTTGTCTTGTTACGCCAAAGAAGAAGTAGAAGAAACCGAAGTACACACACGTTTTTATTCAACCTATATGAATATCATATAGGAACTTCCGAATGGGCTGATTCTCTGCAGTTTTCTAACGAGAAATTTGTAGAATCGTGATCTTCATCCGGTTTTTCAAACTCGGATAACTTCTTAAATATTATTCAACAAAATCCTAGTTGGGAAAATTTGAAAGTTTATTGTAATAGTAAGACGCTCTTATTAAACTTGGAAAGTTTAAGTGGGCCACGGTTTTTGAGTCTCTTGAGACATTGAGAGTTCATAATTAGTTTTTCACGAAACTTTGTAGTTAAATTTGAATCAATTAATAAACAAGAATGTTGGAAACTCATATTCTTTGCATATTAGACTTAATATTGAAATTTAATTTCCTTTATTATTATTCCTTAATTAAACATAATTACATGTTCTAGTTTATTTTATGTTATGCATGCGTCGAATGTATAAGTTTTATGTTAATAGAAGGAGTAAAATAAACCTGTAAATAAATACATAAATGCTAATTCAACAAAATACTTGGGTTTAAAGTAAAACTAAAATACTTCTCAAGTCAACGAACGAATACGTCAAAATTAAATAACTATATCACATTTAAACAATTACTTAATTTAATTAACGCTATTAATGGTTGTTTAAATATGATAGTGTTAATAATCTATCTATTCCGATGTTAATTTCCAAAGGGATTTTAATAAACAGGCTCTTTGGGTTCCCAGTAGAAGACTTCAGGAACATTTGCATCAGTGGTAAAGGGTCTACTTGTAGAACGAAATAAATAAAATGAATTACCTTTGTCTTCGTAGTAAAATATAAGCACAACAAATGAGGCAGACGAGAAGAAGAATTGAGCTAAATACGATTACAAGCATATTCAGGTCAAATATGTCAGACGGTGGACCCACTTCACCTAGAAATATTAGATTAACTTTAGTCTCTTAATGGAGAAAATATGCTGATATATAAATTAAAAACTCAACATATAATGACAGCAGTTTTACGGTTTTTATATATTACTGGCTGACCCGGCAAACGTTGTTTTTCCAAAAATAACTATCTACTATAATAAATAATAGGGGTTGATCGTAAAGGGCTGAAAATTAAGGGTTGTTTGTATTTTTGTATGTTGATCATAAAAAAATAAAAACAAAAAGTTTTGTCTTAAAAATAAAAAATTAGGGGTGGACCACCCTTAATATTTAGGGGGATTAAAAATAGATGGTGTCCCATTCACAGACCTAACCGATGTGCACACAAAATTTCACTAAAATCGGTCGAGCCATTTCGGAGGAGTTTAATTACAAACGCCGTGACACGAGAATTTCATATGATTACTAGCTGATCCGGCAAACGTTTGTTTTGCCATGTATATTATTTCTAGGAAACATTTTTTGAAGTTCAATAAAAATAACTATCTACAATAATAAAAAATAGGGGTTGATCGTAGAGGGGTGGGGTTGTATGTATTTTTGTATAAATATTATAAAAAAATAAAAACAAAAAAATCTAAAAAATAAAAATATTTTGGTGGTTACCCCTTAATCGAATTGTCAAAGTGAATTTAGCAGTTTCAATGATAACTTCGTACCAATCCACACTAACGTATCTTCATAATGAATTATTTGCAAGAACATATTTAACAGGGACACCTGTTAAATATTTGAATATTGGTTAAGCTACTTTTATAACACAGCTTATTAATGAGGAAATACTTACTACCATCCAAATTTTTAGTAGCAAAATTGTAAATGCTACTTATACTCCCAGCCTCATTAGTGGCAGTAATCCGGACCTGGTACCACGTTCCGGGAGACAGGTCCGCTATAGCGAACGAACTTGAACGATAGTTCGATGCTTGGTACAGGGGTAGACTCCAACTTGTATCCGAATATGTCTAAAATAGTTTTTGTTTTTTTATAATGTAGCCCTTCAGGACACCCTTTAGTGGTTTTCTGTACCTTTAGCTCAAATATATTAAGCAACAATGAATACAAAAAAAAATACTTATAAATAAATATTTTAAGAAAATATTATTTTCCATTAAAGATGATGAAACTGTCTTGACAAATTTTAATATAGTAATGTTTAAAGCATGTAACTTCAGTAGTATGACCGCTCATAAAAGTCAATTTGGTATACAGGGTGGTACAAAAGTCGTGGATCAAATGCAACTAGCGACTCATGGCCATGTTTAATACCTTTTCTGAATCCGAAAAGAACCGAAATAAACAAAAGGTTATGATTCGAAAAAAAATTATATCGTATAACTTAATATTATCTTCAATAAACAATTATAAACAGTATGTCTAACGCAAGGACTCATCAGTACCAATCTAGTGGATATTATGAAAAAGATAGTGTAGATTTTTTCGAATTTTTATAAGAATAAGTAAAAAAAGTCAATTTTCTTATAAAACGCAAAACAAATTATATTTCTGCAGGGGTTGAGCTTAGAGACCTCCCGTAGAACAATTTTTGCAGCTGATGACCTCATCTTTCCTCTATTTGCGTTTGATCCACGCTTTTTTGGCCAACCTGTATATATCTGACAATTCATACAATATTCATAAAATACTAATATTAGATATTCTAACCAACGTATTCCTAGCTCTGGTCCAGATTCTTGATCCCAGGGGACGAAACTCCACATCCCAAGCTCTCATATCGCAACCACCACCCTCCCAGCCAGCTAATTGGATGTACATGTGCGAACTGTTGCTCCATAACCATTCGTTTGATGATGGTGGAATTGGAACTAAATATTTTTAGTAAAAAGAGTGACAAATACAAATCCGGCGAAGGTTTACATAAACAGAGATTTCATTCACTGTTTTATTAAATTATTCTTTAAGTATTGGGGCATCTCTTTAGTAATAAGACGACGTTTAGAGTGCTTTTCAGCAAAATAAATGTTCAACGTTGAAACATGGAAATGTGGAAATTTCAACCGTTACAAAAGTATAAAACTGTTTTCGTGGATTTGGACCGTTGTTTCCTTTCATGGGCAAACGGGCTCACCTGATATTGAGTGATATGGACACTTATTGCCAGAGGGCTTGCGAGTGCGTTGCCAGAAGAATTTTATGTAATTCAACAACGATTCATTTAAATCCATAAATGGTAGATGTGTTGGTTGCATTTTAAATTATTATTAGAACGAAATAAAGATTAAATACTGTTTTAATAATTTTTTATTCTATGCATAATGATTGGTAGCTCCTTACACTTAAGTATCTTGTACCATAAAATGGTTGGCAATTAAAAAGGTTGGCAAAGAGTTTCTTGCCAGTTCTTCTCGTCTGTTTCCTTGATTTGAGAACAAAAAAGCAGAAGGAGTAATATCATAAGTGCTTAATACAAAAAAAGTCATCAAAATAGGAAATATACATTGGCTGGACTAACCAGTTCCCAAAGTGCTGATATCCAGATACGCGGGTTGTGAGGTTCCAACTTTGTTCGTCGCTGTTATTCTTAACGAATATTTAGTTCCACACTTGAGTCCAGTTAAGGTATGCTTTTGGACGTTAGATATATTTGGTAAGTCGTTTGTCGACCAAGCCTCTTGCCAGGGTCCGTTTGCTTCTTTCCATGTTAAACTATATGCTAAAAAAAAAACGACGGGTTGCACTCCGGGAGTGCCGGCAGAAGTGAAAACTTGAATATTAACGTTGTGCATTTTTGATATTTTGGAATGGTTAGGGAATAATTTTGCACGAATTGCTTTAATTATCAATATAAAAGTACTATCATTTATGTAGAATACAATATTTATTTATTGAGCTATCGTACACAAACATGACAATTTATAATACATTAAATACGCCCGGCAGCTCTCTACTCTCCATCCGTCTTACGAATTTTCGATCAGGTCACGTGTCCTGACGCGAGTTTAACATTTTTTACCCATTCCAATAAAGGTGTACAACGCTGCTAAAGAAGTTTTCACTTCAAAAAGAGACATACATGAAAAATGTATGTATATTATAGTTAAAATTAATAATTAACAGTCATTGTAACGGTATAAAAACGTAGTTAAAAGAGGAATTACGTTCGATAGCCATATTTCAGACAACGACAATAATAAAAAGTACGCAAGGCAAATCACAAAACATATTAACCCTATATTCACTGAACTTATCGCATTTTGAACACATTATCAATGATCCGATGGGATCCATGGAGAAGGACAGCCCAGGACAGACTACAGCGAAAAAATTGGAGGAGGCCTATGTCGGAAGGCAAGCGAACACCGAGGAAGATTGAGTTCATTCAGTTCGTTTGAGATTCATTTATTCTAAAACATGCTATTGGAGATTATGAATTGTCAAAGAATAAAATTAATTATTAATAAAAATAATAGGTGTCAAAGAAAGATAAAAACGTACTTATTTTCTGCGCAGATGATTTATTCGTCATGGAATAATGTGGCTGTTCCCATTCGACCACAAGTGAGTCTTTATATGGCGTTGCTCTAAGGATTGGTGAATCCGGCAATGGTTGGACAATCACTGTATATTTCACTGAATCAGAACCATACAGATTCTTAGCTAGACACGTATAATTACCGCTTAGAGATTCGTCAATATCTGAAAAAATATAACTTGTGATTGAGGGCTTTAATAAAAAACTAAGCTTCTATAAACTTTTAACGAAACATGAGTTCCATGTCTTTTTTTATGGAAACACTACGCCATAATATTCCTATTTACATACTCTCTTATAAATACAATTTAAATCACTGTTAACAAGTCATCTCCCTTTTTCGTCAAAAAGGAAACACAATTCGACAGAAAGAGACAAAAAAGTACTTTAGCTGCAATTAGTCTGATTTAATTTATTTTAAATAATCATTAAAACAGACAGAATGTCAAATTCCCCAATGAGGGCTCACCAACAGATAATTGAAGGCCTGTATTAAATAGTCGACAAATCGTTATAAAGCTTCATAATAATGTTAAATTACTGTTAATCAGAAGTGTATCGTCGTGGTTCCGTGTAAAGCGGGGATGGTGGGTGATGATGTTGTGATTATGGTACCACACCGTACGGGCTGCAGGAGCACCGACACACTCGCATCGTAGAAGAAGAGACGATCCCGCACCAACAGATATTGAACCGCCTAAAGATGAAACTCCGGCTACGACTGTAGATAAAATCATTTTGTTTATTTAATTTAATTTCTAAAGTTTTTTGAAAGTATATTAAGGAGACAAACGTGTCTATACTAAGGTAAAAAATCGTCTTTCGAAACTTAGTTACCACTGCATTCTGAGATTTTTGGACACATAACACGCAGAGATCCAGAATGTTAAAGAAAAACTTATTGTGACTGCTAGATTAGAGGCCACTAGACCTCGAGGCCGGTGGCAGACCAGAGGCTTGCCGAAGACCGAAGAGTGGAAGAAGTTGTATTATTTCGATATGAATATAATGATAGCATCATGGTGACTCAGACTTTCCACAACTGAGCGTTTTCTAAGGCAGTTTTTGCCGCGCCCCACCACTATGTGAAACCAGCTACCCACTGTAGTATTTCCGAACCAATTCGACTTAGGGTCCTTCTAGAAAAGATCGCACACTCTCACGAGCCCTTTGGCATTAAAAGTGTCCATGGGCGGCGGTATAACTTAACATCAGGTAAGCCTCCCGCCTATTTGCCCCCTTTTTCACAACACTTCTTTTTAAACATTGTTTTATAATACTACCTCTATGCGTTGGTGTTTGAGTGACTCTCTTGCTTGCTCGGCCTTCACCAACATGGGTAGATGCACACACCCATGCTTCATAAGTCCGGCCAGTGCTCAAATCCTTCACCTCTGCTGTATGGCGAATAGATTCTATACGTTGTGTTATAACTGCATCGCCCGCACTTCTATGACAAAATATTGAAATAAAAGCAAAAAATATCCGGTAGGCTCGTTTGCTCCCATACAATAAAAAAAAGGGTGCGTGTACTTATGTACGCGCGTAAGAAGTTAGCTTCTTTGGCTTTTTTATTTTTTTTAAATAATAAATAATTAATAATAAATATTTAACGTTCATAATTTAATAATATTTAGTATATTATTCAATTATTAATGAATATTATTAATAATAATAATTATTATTTATTATTTTATTATATTATTCATTCAATTTAATAACTAGGTTTGTTTCATAACGTTTTAACTAAGTAACAATAGGTCTTTGTAAATAAGCATTGCTAAATTTCTTTGAAAAAACCATTAAAACTCCTTTATTTGTTTAAAAGGTATACTACAAAGGTCATCATTCAAAATTCTTGGCATAGCTGCTAACTTCACGCATATTCTATTTCTTTTTACTTGTAGATTGTCTTATTCCCATCTCGCTCGCGCACGCTCGGCGCCCATACTGATAATTTTGTGTCTCAGGTGCGCGCGCATCGTAAAATTTCACTCTCATAAATTTTTCATAACGCGCCTAAAGAAGTATAACTTCAAAAAAAAATTAAAAATAACCCTTACCCCACTGGCTTGACGTAAACTGTATAGAAAAGAATTTCTCCATTAGGCCTGTCCGGTGGTTTCCAACTGATGAGTAATGTTGTTGGTGATAGTACTAAAACTTTAATATCTGCTGGTGGTGAAGGAACTATAACAAATGTATAATATATAAAATTTCATCGCTGTATTAAATTAGTCAACGAATTACATAGATTAACGGTTTATATTGTCCCTAGAGTGAACTGACAAGTTCTATTATTTGTTTATGCCTAATAATAATTAGTTAATTTTTAATGTAGTTCTTTAGCTTGTCTTTCCTGATTATTTCTTATGCTTGATTTTATTTCGTGTGTGAATTATTTATTGGTAATGCATTCTTCTTCATTTAGGTTCACATATTATAACAGGATTGTGTTTTTTGTAAATAAATAAAACGTACAAATTAAAGTATAGTTTTGTTACAATAATAGATTATGACTCAAAAACTTGAAACTAATTTTATATTTCGCGCAAACAGATCTATGGGTTGACCATAGTAACTTATCATTGTGGTGACAAATTAATTGATCTGATTCTTTAAAAAATTATTTTATTTATATATGACTGAGTATTTTAAGTACTACAAGTAGTCTTCCTAACATCTGGCCAATTAAATATAATAAAATAGTATTGATTACCGTCCTGTAAAGTAGTGCAGACGATTGGGTAAGAAAACGGTCCTACACCGTAACTGGAATACCCAGCGACTTTAATTGTATAATTGGCATATTTTAGTAAGTTTTGCAAATACTGTTCCGTATGAATCGATGTTTGATTCTGCCAATCACTCTCTGAAAAAAAAAATTGAAATCCTACATAGAAACTTGAATTTTTAATGGGGTAAGATGCCAATACTAAGACTGCCGTAGGACAAACGTTTTTATCACTGCTGCAGAAGCGAGACGGCAAATATTATTTTAGAAGTCGATGGACGAAGGCCTGATAAACTTTAAAGTTACTGTTACGATTCTAGTTCTTAGATGGTCCCCATTTCGTCTCTCTTAGACTTAGCATCCTTGATACCATTTCTTTTTTATAGACAATTACTTTAATTACACTAATAATCATTAAGAAATACACAATTAAGTCTGATGTTTTGAATAATAACTTTATTTAAAAAACGCCGTTTACTACTAACAATAGGTAAGGAGCAGAATAAAGAAAATTTCCTACCATCAGAGGCATATAGAATAGTATATCCCAAAATCTCAGTTCCATGTCTTGGTGCTATCAAAGGTTGCCAACCTACTCGCAATGACGTTGAAGAAACGGCTGTACATTCAACTGAAGTTGGAGCGTTTTCAGGAGCTAAAATTTATTCAAATTCATAATGGGCAGTTCTAAAGTAATTGACAAAGTATTTCGTTTATAATATTTAGTTTAAAATACTGACATTACTGTCGGTCATGTACAAACATCTTAAATACAAAATGTTATACTTAAAAATCAATCAAAAAACATCTAATTGTAAATAATCTGAAATATTCTTAAATTCACTTAAACACTCATCAAAATTGGTCCACCCATTTATTGTATTACGGCTTTGTAGGGGAAGATTCGATCGTCTTGGTAGCGGCTTTGTTAATGATAATATCGGCACGATAAGCTTATGGAAACTCGAAATAAACAGATCAACCGATCAATTTCTAAATATCAATCGTACTTAACCACGTATTACGTTTTGTTATTCAGTAGCTTTCAGTTGCGTTTTATTATTTCCAGTCGGTTGCGTTTTGTTGTAAGTTGTGTCATTTTGAACAAATGAACGGCTAGACTGATGTTTTAACTGATAAACTTATAGTTTTTCTGTTTGTTGCGTTTTATGACACGTCCCACGGAGACAGGATAAAAGTCCGTCTCCTCACCAATTTTCAGCCAAATCGGTTCAGCCGTTCGTGAGTTATAAACAGTGTAATTAACATGAGTTTCTTTTATAGATGACTTACCCTTCTGGTATTTGTAATAATAATATTTTTTTAATGATAAAATTGAAGAAAAACTCGAATGTGCGATATAGTTAGTTTTACACGAGTTACTTTATTATATGAAATAAAATACGACAAGTATTTTCTTAAAATTAATAATACTTTAGAACTATGTTCACCTCCTTCCCGAGTCTCCTGAAAAACTGGCGAGGAAAATGGACCCGAACCAGCACTATTAAAAGCTGACATTGTTACAGCATATCTAAAACAAGAAGTGCATTTAAAAATGTGTTTTTATGAAGAAACAATATTTGAATAAGCTATAACAATTTAGCTTCACAGCATATAAGCTATTAGATAATAGCTAATACAAAAAACATAGACTATAGACACAAAATAAAGAATGTATAAAAATAGTTCTATATTAAAAATAAATCTATGACTTAAGTAATTTAAGTTTCGAATAATTTAAAACCTCGCTACTAGACCTCTATGATCATTAAGCATGCTCTGTGTTAGAGCTTGAACATAATAAATACCGTTTATTCGCAAGAGTAATATAACCTTCAGTTAAGGAATGTTTTGTCTCTTATTTTCCAAGAGGGAGTGACAGTGAAAAGAAACATCTCTATGAGTCCACACTAAGAAGGAACTTCTGAGGTTAGATTGTTAATAAATAAGCACAAGTACCTTGTATTTTTCAATAGACCACTTAGCATTGTCTCTTGCTTTCCAGACTGGTGTGGCACTTTTAACATTCTCGTGTTTGATTCTTCTGAAACTAAAATAACAAGGTTGGCAATACTGGTACATATCTTTTATGTATTAAAACTTTCCAATCCACATACAATCAAGATAGTGTATACTGCATTATGACAGTCGATATTATCTTAATGCATCTCGGTTAGTTATCATAATGCGTCGGGTTGTCTTTCTCCCTAAAATATGGCGAGGGGGTCGATGGCCATATGTCATACTCTTGAACGGGTGCTACTTGTGATGACTGGTCGAACTTGAATTCTTTCGACTATTTATTTGCGTGTTATTCCCACAAGAAAGTAAGTGCGTGCTCCTATTTCATCATGCCTACTGCTAATAGAGGACAAATCTTTGTTTTTATTTTTATTATTAATTAACTATTAACTACTTAAGATGTCATATGGAACATCGTGTAATGGTTGCAGCTCCTTACAAACATTGTGTAAATCAAAAAACTTGGCGATTAAAAAGAGTGGCGGAGAGTTTCTTGGCAGTTCTTCACGTCCGTTCTACGCCCTTGATTTGAGAACTGGCAGTAAATGTAAAATTAGAAGTATTTAGCATTTAATATGTATTTTTTTATTGACGTTCATAATTGTACATTGTGTTACCTAAATGAACAAATGATTTTGACTTTGACTTATGGGGTGGAGCGGCATCTTCATTGCTGAAATGTGAGAGTGCCATTCTAAAGATATCTTATAAGAAACCTTCTCGCTACCCAACTTTAAAAATGTACAACGAAACAAAACTTCTAACGGTTATACAACTATACTTAATGACAATATGCCTTTTTTGGAAACACCGACTACACCAAATAATACACAATGCAAACCCACATACAAGCTACCCAAGAAACACGCCAAAGCTTTTTCTCTTTCAGAGGCATTTTCTACTTACTTAACCTTATTTAACCGCTTTCATTTTGAATGTATTAGGAGGCAAACGGGCAGGAGGCTCACCTGATGTTCAAACTCAAATTAAAAATATCTTTATTCATATAGGTTTGTTTACCTACACTATGAACGTCAAAAAAAAAAGTTAAATTAATTGTAAATTTACATTTACAAAGTTAAAAATTTACAAAGTTAAAGTTAAACGATAGAGCAGCCATAGACACTCACATCGCCAGGAGGCTCGCAAGTGCGTTGCCGGCCTTTTAGGAAATGGTATGCTCCTTTCTTGAAGGACACTAAGTCAAATTGGTTTGAAAGTACTTCAGTGGGCAGCTGGTTCCACATAGTGGCGGTGCGCGGCAAATTATATTAATAATTGTCTTAAAAAAAGTTAAGGTAAGGTAATATGAAAAATGTTTAAACAAAAGTTTAGTATCGCTAAAACATCTCGATTGGAAAAACCATAAACAGGAAAATAAGTGAAAAAGGCGAAGTTGTAAAATTTATATGACTTTTATAGCGATAAAAGTTTCCTGAACTTTAGAGGGGTCTTATTTTTACGACACTAGAATGAAAGCTTCTTTGTGTTTTGCTACTATTTTAGTATTACTGATTGATAAGAAACTAAAAAAAATGTGTGGCACTCGGGGACTGCCGCGGTAAAGCTATTGCATAGCATTGTTTATCAACTTATGCAATAATAATTATTTATTAATTTTTTATTTATGCAGTATTTTTTTATTTTGATATTAATTCAAGTTTTTTATTTGATATTAATTCAAGATTTTTCTTTGATATTAATTCCATAATCTACCACTCTACCAAACTCAGACTAACACGCCTATATAGTCTGTCTCACTCTAACGCGTACCGGCTCCACCCGATGTGAGATGTCACGTTACGTCATCGTGTGTTAGGTTATTTTCGTTACGGAATTTCTGGATTCGGTCTCCACGCTCAAGGCCCGCAATAGAAGCTATGCAATATCTTTAAAACAAATTTACATTCCTCTGCTTATAGTTAAATAAAAAAATTAAGTATTTAAATTGGCGCCTGGTAGATAGAAATTACCGGTAACCCAGAGCTGGTGCTTTCCTCGCTACACGAATAAGTATTGCAATACCAAGAGGAAATGATGCCAGCATTTAAGGAACACAGGAACCAAACTTTTAAAATTTGATTTAATTTTCTATTCATAAATTTTGATTATTACCATGTAGGTATATTGTATATTGTAAATACTGTATATTAGTGTCTTTATTTATATATGTTAATCCATAAGCAAAAATTATTGGAGAAATAAAACTTACTCCACTTAAGCTAAGAAGGAAATTACTGAAGAATGCCGATACTATGATAATATTTTTTAGATGATATAAGCACATCACGTGACGTTTACGAATTTAAGGAATCATTAGTGATATTTATTCAATTTAATAAAATATGGTTTTAATCGATATTTGCCTATAAATTCGAATCAAAATCTGCTGTCAATTAAAAGATTTATGTCAAAGGATACAAGTGATCCTTATATAAAATTAATTAAAGTTGATTAAACTTACTTTTAATACTTTTTTAAGGCAAATAGGTAACAACTTTCTATTGCGAACTCACTGACGTAGTGATTCGTCAATTACACCTCTTCAGCTTATTGCAGAGTTGTTTTGGCACCTCCAATCCAGCTTTGTACCACCATTACGCCAGAAACGCGGTCTTTATATTAGGTCCTTACATATGAAATTGGCGTTTTGTATGGGAGGAACAAAAAGTCGAATATGTTTAAATATAATATATTTAATTAATCAAAGTATGAACCATTGTTTTCTATGCACTTTTGCCATCTCATAGGTAGTTCATTGATCCCTTTACTAAAAAATACCAGTCGGACGGGAATCAATAAAATCTGTAAAGGCGATTTGGACTGCCCCATCAGAGTTAAATTTTTTCCCTTGCAAGAAAATGTCCAAACTTCGAAAAAAAATGGTAATCTGTTGGAGCAAGGTCCGGGGAGTACGGAGGATGTCTTAGACATTCCAATTGAAGCTCTTCTAATTTGGTAGCCGTCTGTTGTGCAGTGTGTGGTCTAGCGTTGTCGTGAAGTAGCAGTGGCGTGGAGCGATTGACCAGCCTAGGTTGTTTAGCCGCTAGCTTTTCCATCATGGTTTGCAATTGCTGACAATAGACATCAGCCGTAATAGTCTGGCCAGATTTGAGAAAACTGCAATGAACAATACCGGCAGTAGTCCACCAAACGCTTACAAGTAACTTTTTTGGGGTTAATTTTCGCTTGGGGCAGGATTTGGCTGGCTGGCCAGGATCTAACCATTGCGCTGAGCGCTTTCGATTATCGTAAAGAATCCATTTTTCATCACAGGTAATGATTCGGTTTAAAATACCTTCATTATTGTGCCGGTTCAGTAATGTAACGCAGCAGTCGACGCGCGTTTGCCGGTTTGCTTCAGTCAATTCGTGAGGTACCCATCTTTCAAGCTTTTAATCTTCCCAATTTGCTTCAATTGAATTAAAACAGTTTTATCACTAACACCGCAGCCTGCAGCTAACTCGGACGTGGTTTGCGATGGATCCGCTTCCACAATAGCCTTCAATACTTCATTATCAACTTGGGTCTCAGGCCGTCCACGGGGCTTGTTCTGCAGGTCGAAATTTCCAGAACGAAAACGTTGGAACCAAAAACGAACTGTGTTTTCTTTTGCAACATGACCGCCATACACATCATTCACCCTTCGAGTCGTTTCCGCAGTACTAGTGCCACGGCGGAACTCGTACTCGTAAATAATGCGATACTTTAAGTTTTCCATTTTGTAAAATGTGTGACGCAAACAGAAAAAACAAATGAATGACGGTCATCGAAGCACAAATACATGAGTAAATAGCTGTACAAATTTGAATTTGGAATTCCTTACCAAAGAGGAGAACAGCGTGATTAAAGTGGCCAGTACGAAATACGCCAATTTCATATGTAAAGAGCTAATATTAAAAACATGTGTGTGTACTTATGTACACGCGTTAGAAGTTATACTTCTTTTGCGTAACACGATAAAAATCTTAAAAAAATATACATATTTCGCCTTATTCTACATAGAAAAAACTACTGTCAATGGAAAAAAGGTATTTAATACATTTAAAGTTTTATTATAACGCATTATCTAGTTAAATAAAGTTTATTTACATATAACAAAAATAATAATTCTACATAATTAAAGAAATGGACATTTTTATTTTAAAATGTTGACTATGCTAACTTCAGGGTGTCGGTTTTTTGTAACGGCGTGCGCGCGAATCGTATAAATTTACTCTCATCATTTTTCCCTAACGCGCCAAAAGAAGTATAATTTCAAAGAGTGTATATCGTCTATATATATTAAAAAAGTGAAATGTAATAAAAATCTTACTTGGTCCAACATTCTGTGGCACAGCCTTTATGTGGAATCCTGTGATGTGGCCATTATGTGAAAGTGGGTCTGGGGGTGACCACCACACTCTTAGCTGACCTGGCTCTTCTGTTTGCGATACACGTACTTGTAGTGGTGGAGATGATGGTGCTAACAAAATAACAAAAGGATTTTTTTATGGAAACCGTATTAGATTTTAATCTGTACCAATTACGACCGGTACTTTATATTATGGTAAATTTGGATTCAATAGAATTAAGAAATTCCCTCTGTCTCTTTATTAAAGCGTAAACACAATTTGACAGGAGATGAAATAGTATTTAAGTCTGATTTAGTTTTTATGAATAAGTATATTAATAAAATTAAATAATTTATTAATATTGATGATTTTGTAAATATTTAGTTTATTGTCAATATATTAAATTGAATTTAAGTAATAAATTGTTTCATCATTTTAAAGAAAATATAACTTACGTTCCTCCTGTGTAGTGAAATGCAAAGGTTCAGTGAACCGGCTTACAGCGACTTGGTTGACAGTTGCAACTCTAACTGCATAGCCGTTCGCCGGACGAAGATTTTGCAGCTCGAATATTTGGCGTATTTCATTATTGCTAGAGGAAATATTGACGTTTAAATCCGGGTAAAACAAATAAAATACAAATCATAAGTACACTGTAAAATAACAATTTATTTCAGTGGAATTTCACTGCGTATTTCAATGTTGTTTTTGTCTTATTTTTATTTATTTATTAATACTATTTTACATTACAAATAGAAACAAGTAACATAAATCATTAGGGATGCAAAGGTGCACCCTTATCGCTGACGTGTGATCTCTTCCAGGGAACCTTAGGGGAGCGTTCAAGTATTACGAAAAACCTTTTGTAAAACGTTACAATGCGGGGCGGGGATTTAGAATTACGCGTTATTGTTAATATTATTTTCGACTTTCCAGTACTTTACACCACATAATGGTAACTTTTAGGTATAAAGAGTCACTAGGTGGTCACGAAAAGTTTGACTATACTTGGGTACAGAAAAACGTTACGGCGCGTTACATGGGGTTACATACAATAATCTCCAAAAATTGCGTGACGTAATTTTTGAAAAAGCGAAAAATCTAAAAAACTATTATATATTATACAATATTACTTTCATTAAGTTTATTTATCCTGTTTTATTATATAACTATTCATTAGTGGAGATTACAAATTTGACTAAAAATAGTTTTGATGTACGAGTTTCTTTCTTAATGGCAATAATGGTCTAGGTATATAAAATATTTTTCACAGTTTTCTCAAAATATTTACTTACTGGTCAGGGATTAACATTCGTATCAGACTTACTCCATTACTTTAAGATCCATTAAAATTATTTATTCTTATAATGTAATGATATATGATGAACTATTTAGTCCATGGAATATTGGCCTAGTGGCTTCAGCGAGCGACTCTCATCCCTGAGGTAGTAGGTTCGATACCCGGCTTTGCAGCAATGGATTTTCTATGTGCGCATTTAACTTTCGCTCGAACGGTGAAGAAATACCTCTACAGCAAACCGAATTGCCTTAGACCCAACAAGTCGACGGCGTGCGTCGGGCACAGGAGGCTGATCAACTACTTGCCTATTCGATTGACAAATTAACATGAAAGAGATACAGAAATCTGAGGCCAAGACCTAAAAAAGGGTGTAGCGCCACTGATTTATTATTTTTATTTAGACAATGGCTTAAAATCATTACCAAAATCAACCACATATATTTATTATATAAAATTGACCCAATGCTAAGTATAATTTGTGTCTTAACATACCTTGTGACATTAAATGTGCTAGCGAGCTCCCAACGAACATCACTGAGGTGCGCAGGCGCATACTGTACGGTATAGTGCTTGGCATTTACACGGTCATTGGTTCGCCATGATATGGCCACTAATCGAGATTGAACTGACTCCAAACGAAGTTCAGTTGGTGGTGTGGGTGGTTCTGGAAACAGTTGTTGCTTTAAATGTTTAAAAACTATTAGTTTTTAACATTGAAAACCTTAATTAGTTTTATAAAGATTTGTCATATTTATTAACAAAGTCTCAGAAGAGAATATAATCGCTATTTGATTTTCATTTAAATAACGATTTTTTAATAAGCGTGTTTAAGATGTTAATAATATGTCATGAAAGTGACAGCTGAAGTTAGTGTTGCCGTGACAGTTTCGCCCAAGGGTTAGTGCTATTTATTCTGGCAACATTGTGTTGTCCTCTTCACTAACATTATGGTTAATACTAAATAAAATAAAATAAAAATATATTTAAAAGCACCATAAAGTTAATAAATTCATTCTTTAAATGAATGTTTAATAAGTAAATTATTTCTAACTAAATATTACAAAAAACTACGTTATTTTAGAAACAGAAATACGAACATAAATTATAGCACTTAATGACTTTAATAGGCCGACAACGCACTCCCAAGTCTCTTGGTACGTGTGGGAGAGACGGTGTCTGCGGTACTCAGCCTCCTGTTATATCAAATACAAATTCAAAATTCCTTTTATAACTCACCCAGTATTGTGACATATACATTGTAGTTGCTGCTCCCAAAGGGATTGCTCGCTCGACATTGATACAATCCCGCATCATTTGTTTCTGCGTACTGTATACTTATTGTACTTCTCAAACCTGAGTTGGTTTTTATTTCTGACAGTTTCCATCTAAAACAAATTATGTTTATATTATGTAAACACTAGCTAGTGCCCGTGACTTCATCTGCGCAGGATAATATAACATTTAAAAGCGATAAAAGTATCTATTTTCATTTAGGAATAAATTTATACTACCAAATATGCATTTGAAACAAATTATTATACATTTTTACTGTAGTTATGGTTCACTATTTTGAATTTAAAGGCTTACACATAAGATATAGATATACGTATATTTACTGTGGCGGGCTTTTTTGTAGGACTATTTAAGATAAACATTTCCATCATACATTACATATGTGTAACAACTCTAGCAGTTTTGGCAGCGCACACCAGAATAGCTCGCAGATGGTAGATTTTTTCCTGCTTACATGATATTTTGGACAATTCACACAATATCTTAATAAATTGTAGTCTATGTGTTATTCTGATGTATAAGCTATATTATTGTAAAGTTTCATTATAATCCATTCAGAAGCTTTTACATCAAAGAGTAACAAACATCCATGCATACTTACAAACTTTATGATATTAGTAGGATTTGCGAAAAGCGTAATTTTTTTGTGTTATTCGTGGCCATAGACACAATTTAAAAAAAAGGTTTTTATTATATTCGTTCAACAGCTGTCCTGACTGAAGTAGAAATGGTAATTAAGAGTTTTAGTTTCTATATTAATCTATTTGATATTAGGAATTATTTATTACTTTTTCTTTTTCTTCATTATTTTGTAAGTATCGAAATACAGCGAGGAAATGCTGCCAGCGTTAAAGGTACACTGCCACAGGGGCCAAACTTTTTAAATTTGTTATATTTATTAATTATTATTATTACTATGTAGGTTAAGAAAATTGTACATATACTACTACTATATATTTGTTTAATTTTTAATAATTGTGTTAAAGATGTTTAAATTATTTTTTAAAGCCTGACACTTGCCTATGAGTGTGCACTTCCAGTGCGTGTCCGTGCCTCATCCATTGTACAGTAATAGGTGTGTCTCCGAGAGCGTGGCACTCCAGCGCTACTGATTGACCCAGACGTGATGTAATATTAGCTGATGATGTGGAGAAGTGGACTGGTTCTAAAAATATAAATACTCCATCATAAAAATGAGTATAGTTTGACCAGTGTTGTATCTAGCATAGTTAATAATAATAATAATTTATTTGCAAGAATATGATACAAAAATGTTATGGTGGTACAATCTTAAGTTCGCATATTATGCCACACATAATGGCGTGCATATTTGTCATCAAACGTAGAATAGAAGGTACAATTACATTATAAGAAATATCATTATAGTCAATTCTTATATTATCTTTAAAAAACATATTATTACGCTATCAAATTAAAATAAATTATAATGTTTCACGGAAATAATCATTACAGGTATCCAAAAGTTAATACATGTTTTCCAAAAGTACATTAAGTCGGTTTTTAAAATCTCTAGTAGTATTTTTTTGGTAAATTATGATAAACTTTTACTGTCATTATGATAAGCTTTTTAACATAATGTGTCATATACCTATTGTTTAGTAAAAATATATATTCTATACTTCATTTACATAAGTTTTAAAGTCTTATTTATATTCGTTAAGCTTCTCTTGGATAGATATATTCGGAAAGGCTGAAGGAGGCCTTACCCGTGAAGGGGTTCCGATCAATGGTACTGAAGGACAACAAGAAAAAAAAGTGTATATTATAAAATTCTATACTGTACATTTCTAATAAACTACTAGCTAAAGCTGCTACTCGTAGATATTTTGTTTAAAGATCACTGTTGATAACTTGTTCGCCACAAATGTGGTGTCGGTAAAAGCGCTCATATCTGAAATCTTTAGGGAAATACATATTGTATTACAAGTTCACTGTCCTAAGTTTTCCCCATATAATTTACGTTGTAGTTTTTATGCCTAATAGTATAAAATGATTTGATGTGTATCAATTGATCTAATTCGTTTATTGCTAACAAAGTTGTTTTATTTTCACATATAGTTATATGCTGAAAATCTCCTAAGTAAATAATATAAAATAAAAGCTTATGGTTGTGGAGATGGGAGGGTGCTGCTGTATCTCCAATGATGGTTGACCAGTCACACCGCCTGAACCACCGAATGGCTTCGATCGAAAACTTGTATGTATCAGACGTCAGAATATATAGCAATTCAAGTTATGAAGTTATACTGTTTATAGCGGATTGAAGATGTCGCTATAGGATAAATAAGTTTAGCGAAAAATACTATGTTTTTTGAGGGAGTTTAGAAACCTAAATTGCAAAATGAAAACGACGTAATACCGACTATTGACAGTGATCCAGATAGTCTTGCTGAGTGGCGTACCGACGCCATTTTCAACGTTGCAAGAATACAGTCCCTCGTCTGCCAGTGATACCTCGTCTATTACCAAGGACCCATTTGTCAGACTTAGAATGCCGCCTCCAGCAAGTTCTAGTACGGGTTGCCATGTACCCAGAATCGCTAAAATTATACATTCTATAAATAAAAGTTACTACACAAACACTTGTAGGTTATTAGAAAAGATAAATTAAAGTGTACTTAACTTTGGTTCAGTCACAATTTTAATCAATTAAATAAATTAAGGATATTTAGTTGATATTTGATGTCAAGAAAAAGTAAGCGGTAATTAGAGATAAATAGTCAAAGTCAAAAAAACTTTAGTCATATTGGTAAACACGTACACTTATGAACGTCAGAAAATAAGTTAAATTAATTCTAAATTAACATTTACTACCAGTTCGCAAGTCATGGGCGTAGAGCGGGCAAGAACTGACAATAAACTTTCCGCCACTCTTTTTAATCGCTAAGTTTTGTAAGTTTATTAATACCGAATTTAATCAAATGCTCAGGCCAACAAGTTTAAAATACAATTAACGTTTTAAGCATTTGAAATGTTAATTTCGAAATTGTTAACATAACTTCATTGCTAACAAGCAAGCGTGTTTTTTGAAAGCGACTTAGAAAGGTACTCCTTTCCAAGCCACGAGTCCCGACTCAAGTAGGGATCTAAAATCTGTAATAACTATCAATCTACGACTCTACGATTTTTTAAATCAAAATTTTATATACCGTTGAGGCATTGACATGGTTTTATATTGTCCAATTTTTTCATCAGTCAATTGGTTATTGTTTTGTAGAAACTTGATGTATTTCAGAATCTGTATCTTTCATATATTTTTTTTGTTTTAACGTTTTCAATATCTTGAATTTCTAAGAATATTCTTACCGTCTTTTTTCATCCAATGTACTTGAGGTTTTGGATACCCACTAGCGCTACACGAGACAACACCTCTTCTGCCTAATAAAAGAGAAGAGTTCGATGGCTCTTCTGCCCATTTCGGTGCAACTGTAAAAAGCGACTACAATAAGAATTATTAAAAAACCTAAGAGCTTGGTAAAATAATATTCGCAGCAAAATTATCTTTAAAATTGTCCGTATATTTTATGATTCACGTCCAAGGCTATACACCTATTTTAATAAATAGTATATATGTCGCGGATTCAGATAGAACAGCGCGTTGATTTATTAAAACAAATAACTGAGTGCCGGCGCAGGCGCCGATAAGAGCAATTTATACACAACGATCGATCCAACACATTATTGACATTGACAATTAACAACCTGTAACACGTCAACGATATTGTGCGGTGTTGCCATTCTAATAAAATAAATGACAATCTGTTCCCTACATTATCACTGACATATACGTAAATACAGTGGTACCTCGATTACGAGTGTTTTGTGATAGGAGCCGCTGAGCGAGCGATATTTTGCTTTGAGATGAGAGCAAGATTCGAGATACGAGGAATTGCACGCTTCACACTACCCTAGCAGTTTCTCCCAGCTCAGACTAGACCTTATCAGTATTTTAGATAAGTTAGGTTCGCGTGGACATTTACCAAACGTTATCCATTTTTTTTACAATCATGTGTCCGAAGAAGATGATGTCAATTGAATTAAATCGTGAAATCATTTTCTAATTAAAAAACACTTAACAAAAAACAACTGTTTTGGGTGCTGATATAGATTTATGGTATTTCAATAAATTTCAATGGGAAAAAATTTAAAAATTGTACCATACAATATTTAAATAAAATAATTTTATTAGACATTGACCTATCATTTATTACTAACGAAACACAAAATAATAATAAAAAAACAAAAAATTATGGAAAAAAGGGAATAAGTGTGTAATGTGCCTGTTGTGGTTGTAACTGGCCCTGGCTCAGCATTATGCTGTTAATAGTTAATCCCTTTTTATAGTTTAAAAAAGCTTTTTTGTATCTGTATTAAACTAGATTACCTTATTCAACTAGATTACGATCCCTATAAAAAATAAACCACGTTTCATATAGTTTTCTAAATTACTCAGCACGTCAGATCGGTGTTCATACAACATGAAAGCGGGTAACACTCAGCAAGGATAAAAAATGTCTATTTTGCCTCATTATCCAAAAATATATGACGTATTTTCCGAGCATATAAAGTTTCATCATGTCTCAGTTGTGACATATTTGTTCATTAATTTGTTTTGACGAAATATAAGACACAATACTGAGAAGTAAAGATTCCATGATTTTTAAAATATTGTTCTGTGCCAGATGCAGTTTATATATGCTTTAACAAAATATTCTTAAAATATTCTTTGTTTGCTTTTTTTTTATAGAACAGGGGGCAAACTGGCAGGAGGCCCATGGACACTCTCAATGCCAGAGGGCTCGCGAGTGCGTTGCCGGCCTTTTAAGAATTGGTACGCTCTTTTCTTGAAGGCGCAAACTAGCTGTTGTGGTCTCTGGCAGAATGACCAGCGCTGTGGAACAGTCACCTTCTCAGCATATTATTATTAATATCTTTATTATTATTATTTTTTATAATTATTATTTTGTGTGTTTCTGTGTGTGTGTTTCTTTATATATAGAGGCTATAAAATGTATAGTACTTTTGATAAAATTATTAACACCTCACCTTTTATATACAGTTCTGTGGTTTTATTAACAGTTGCGACGTGGTTGGTTGCGACGCAGGTGTATGTACCACAGTGTTCTAAGGATACTTTTTTTATTATCAGCGCGCTGAATAGCTCTGAACTCCTCTCAACGACCTTGAAAAATAATTGCATTTACCACACTCTTCCTAATTAGCAATAATATTTTTGACCTGATTTTTATAGAAATATTTTATATGGGATTGAATATATTACCAAATAAATCGAGTTAATCGGAATATTTACTTTTTTTAATTGCTAAAAACAATAGTTGTCTTCTGACCCAAGTGGTACTAAATGTCTCGTATATGTCACAGCCATATTAATCAGCCATTCAATCAACAGCCTAGCCTCTTAACTAAACAGCGACGTTTAACTAGCGGCCTAAAGATATTCAGTTGATCTAATAGCTAGGCAAATGACTAGAATCGATGACGTTTCATTACTTGCCTAGCTTGTTGACTGTTAATTAAAATTTAGTTCCACTTTCTGCCACTCTCAAACTCGAAACGAAACTCTTCAAACTGTCAATATGGCATCGGCAAACCACAATTTTGATGGTGTATTCCAAAGTTTAATAAAAAACAACAAGTACAATCGAAGTAGTGAAAATAATAATGTGAATTTAGCTGTGACTGACTCAAGCAATTAAATTTTTAAAGAAATATTTTTTATGTGACATGTTTCATCTCATTTATTTCTGCCACATAATCACTCTATCGTACGAATGGCCTACACATTAGCCAGCCAGTTTATTAAATATTGTAATAAACGCTACAGCTGAATATCTTTCAGGCCGCTAGTTAAACGGTGCTTTTTAGTTAAAAGGCTAGGCTGTTAATTCAAAGGCCAATTAAGCTAGTTGGCTGCGACATATATATAGGTTTAAACGTTTCTTAAGATAATTTAAAGCTGTCATATGTAAAGTATGACCCAACTTCAAAATTAGATCTAATCAAGAAATTTACCTTCAAACCACTCGGTATCCGCTTTCCATCCTTCAGCCACTCAAAGTGTATGGGCAAATCGCCGCTCCTTACGTTACAGTAAATATTTACAATTTGACCTTCCTGAAGGTTGTTCCCAAATAAAAGATCTTCCAACACTGGCGCTTCAATAACCTGTATTTCGAATGTCCGTCTCGCCATTTCTCCCGACGGACTGGTCACAATGCAGGTATATTGAGCCTCGTGGTCCTTATTAATTTCTAGGATACTAAGCACTCCGTGGATGTTGGAAACGCTGCGATTTTTTCGTTTGTGTTGACTCCGTTTGTATCTTTGGAAAAGGTTGTCCGAGCTAATGGTTTTGCCCTTAAATTCCCAATCAATTTTGCTGTGAAGTTAATGATTATTGAATACAACTGAATGGTTTTATTTTATACACTAACAGTAAAAATATTATTATTTTCTATATATCATACTATTATACTCATTTCTAACATATATATATATTAAATTATTTATTAGAGATATTAATGGAGGTTATAGGTCATGATTAAGTGTGATAAGAGGAGTCCCGTAAAATGTGTCTGAATTAATTTTATTGGTACATAATCGAAATAAATTGAATCAAAACGGCTCTTGTGCCTTGAAAATCTTACATCGTACCACTGCACTGGGTCATTCGCAAAATGAGATAAAGATATGTTGTGTAGGTAGTGGGTACCGTACACATCGGCTCCCGTGTAAAAATACAATTAAAAATAGAAATTCCCCTTATATTGCTATAATGTTGTTTTAAATGAATTAAGCAAGGCAAATTAGTGCAGTGTGTGACTTTTCCAAGTTGTTGTGTTAATGGGATAATCAAATTTTCAACATAATAACAAGCGCTCTGGTGCAGTGGCCGTTTTAAAACATCAACAATACGCTAAATGGAAAAATACGCAAGTGAATCATAACATTAACATTATTTTGCATTTGATAGTTTTTTGATTAATTATAATAATCATATGCATAGATTCAGTGAAATAGTGTCGAGTTTTTGTTCAACGTGGTGACGCGTTGTGCGTTTGTACTCAGCTATTGGACTGGAATATATACTATTATTTCGGCTGATTACTCGACCGCCCGCTCGGCGCAGTGTTGCAGAGCGCTGCCATAATAACGTTATATAGGCATCCCACTTGTTTTTGTTTTTATTTATTTTTTATTAAAAGTTGCTATGGCGCCTTCAAATTGTTGTGCTAGCTGTCATATTGAGCTACCAAAAAGGATTTTTTATGCTGTCATATCTGCAAGTTAAAATACGACCTAGAATGTGCTAATGTCTCCCGCAAGCGCTTTGTTGAGATGGTCGCAAGACAAAAGGCGTCATTTAGATGTCCCGAATGCTCTAGGAAACCGACTAATGTTAGCAATGCAAAGACGTCATTGCTGACTTGTGAAAATTCCGATGGAAGCCCCCATAGTATGAGCTCACAAGAAGCAAGTCCGGAGAGTGAACCTCCGTGCTCTAAAGTAACGCAGCGAATAAAGCCATCACATGGACCCCCTTCACAACTACCAGAACTAGAACCATATGTCACTGAAGATAAATTGCGAGATATCTTACAACAGGAGTTATCTTCAGTCCTCACTGTGACAATAAAGCGATTGGTGACATCGGAACTTAATAATCTCACTGAAAGGGTTGTTGGGTTCCAGGACACAATCTGCTTCCTGAGTCGACAATTTGAGGATATAAAGTCTTCTCTTGAGGAGAAGGACATCGCAATAGTGAATCTAAAAAAGATAATGAGAGGTTAAAGTCTAATGTGGCTGACCTAACGAACCGGCTAACTTCTGTTGAACTACATGCCCGGGAGAATAATATATTGATTAATGGGATCCCTGAGAATAGGTCAGAAAATTTATTTGAAACTGTCCTTCGTATAGCCAAGACTGTGGACTGTCCCCTCACTCAAGTTGATATTCAGCACGTAACAAGGGTTGCTAAAATAACTAATAGCAGTGATAGGCCTCGGTCCGTGGTAGCCAAGTTATGTAGCCCGCGTACACGTGACTTTGTTCTGGCTGCTGTGAGCAAATTTAATAGGAAGAATCCACAAGAGAAATTAAACTCTCATCATCTTGGTATCGAAGGAACTAAGAAACCTATTTATGTATCTGAACATCTTACATCAGTTAACAATGCTCTTTACGCGGCCACACGCTTGAAAGCAAAAGAGAAGCAGTATAAATTTGTATGGGTTCGCAACGGACGCGTTTTTACAAGAAAGAACGAAAACTGCCAAGCCTTGCTTATTAAGAATAACGAAACCTTAAATCTTTTAACATAGTATAGTATATTAGATTGTAAGCTTTTTGTTGTATCTTTAGTCTAGTAACACACAGATTTTTTTTTTTACGATGCTTGAAATTTATTATCAAAACGTACAGGGGTTGAGAACTAAGACGGCAAGCTTTCTCAAATATTTGTCAACTTCTAATTACAAGATCATCGCTCTAACTGAAACTTGGCTGAAATCTGGTATTTCAAACATGGAATTATTTGACAATAGATACACTGTTTATCGTAGAGATCGTTCAAGTTCTACCAATACCAAATCGGATGGTGGAGGTGTCATACTGGGAGTCTCCAAAGAAATTTGTTCTTTCAGAGTTGAGGCGTGGGAATCGGATGTGGAGGACTTATGGGTCACCTTACATATAAATATTAATAAAATAATAAAGAAACTTTCGATATGTGAAGTATACCTGCCTCCTCCTGTTAAGATTGGGACTTTGACACATTTTTTAGACAGCGTCGACAGAGCTTTAATCTTAAGTGATGATGTCAATCTAGGGTTCATTAATTGGAGATCGCTAAATAATGAAGTTTTTATAACACCTTGTAATTATAACAATACACTTGGCTTTGCCTTTATTGATTTTATGTCTATGAATAGCCCAAATCAATGTAATAGTATAGGTAATAGTGATGATCGTTTCTTGTATTTAGTATTAAGTAATATGTCTAGTATTAATGTATCAGCCCCCTCCGACTCGTTAAGTAAAATATACGCGAATCATCCTAGTTTATTGTTAAGTATTAAATATTCTAAAATATCTTTTTTGCGAACGAGAGGTAATACTTAACTAAGTTTTTAAAAAGCTGACTATGTGTCTATTATAGGGGATCTGAAAACCATTGATTGGAATGATAGCCTACGCGCTCATAATAATGTTAATGATATGGCATCTGAGTTCTAAAAAATCCTTAACACCTTGTATATTATGTTTTAATTGTATTTTTTACATTTTTTAAATTTTAAATTTCTATTTTTTGTTTGTGAAACTTGTGTTTACGTTAATTGTCACACATTTTAGATGTAAGTTTTTGTAAAATAATTAGTAGATTAAGTATTGTGTGTGATGTCGTAAGCCTAATAAATAAAATAAAAAAATAAATAAATAAATGCTTCAACCAAACAAAAGCACGCGTGGTTTAGTGCAGCTCTTCACATGAATATATTTTAAAGGAATGTTTGTTATTGTTTAAATATGAGAGCTACCTTATTGGATATCCATAAAATGGACATCTGAGATTGACCGTTTCGCCGCTCTGGACTTTTAGTGGCGGTAATGCTCTAATATAAGGTGGTCCTAAAAAGAAAATTATTAGTTTCTATATTTATTTATTATCTACGGTACTGTCTAAATTTTAAAACCTTTTTTGTGATACCCATTGGGGGTGAGATTGTGATTTCAAAATTAATGTCATACTATACTATTTTAATTTTATTTTAAATTTGGTCAAAATGAAAGAGTCTGGTAATGAAAAGTTATGACAAAGATAACTTTGCTAACTAATTAAAAATATTGTTTTTGATATGTATAGTAAATTAACTTCATTTTTATTACACTTTGCAACGGTTACAATTAAAAGTAAGTTAGGACGCTAGCTTAGATTTGAATTAAATAAACTTACCATATACATCCAGCCTGTTCTCATGGGCAGCTACATGATCACCTTCTTTTGCTGAACAAGAGTATAATCCGCCATCTTCCACTCGTATCCTTGATATATTGAGCTGAGCCAGCACAGTGCCATCAGATCGCATTATTTGACCCAAAGAATATCTAAATTAATCGAATATTATTTAATAGGAATATAAGTTCAGTTTTATTTCTGATTATTTTACAACTGATTCATTGACCAAACAGTTTTACAATGCATTGTCAACTTTTAAGTTTTGTATAACGTTTGTCACAAAGATGTGCAGCGTTTGCAGCGCGAAAAGGGAGAGAGCTATTGAGAGAGAGTGAGAAGGGGCGAATAAGCTTATAGAAATTCTATTTTAAATAAAAAATTCGTAAAGAGAATTTATGAAATATTAGTATTTTATATTTCATGCAAAATAATATATTGAAATCTCAAATGACGAATCGTAAATTAAAATGCCACGTGTTTTTATGTCTCGGAAATTTTTAGATTTTTACAAAATATTATGAACAAGACTTAAAAATTAGTTTGCCAAAAAAGTTTCACTTCAGACACGTGTACTTTGTACGCACGCACTTTTTTTTTAAATTTCAAGAGGCACGATTCGTTTTGAAAAATGGAAAGGTTCCATCACCTTTTTTAACCACGTTAGGGAATTTGCCTGTTCTTACCTATATATTCAAAACATGTCTTAAATAGATTTTATTGCCTCATAACACTTGAGAAATTTGACACAAGATGAAACAAAATATACTTTTCGGGGCTTATGTTAGAGTATAGATGAAAAAAAATGTTTAAATATGTAAAATGAATTAAGATTTATTTGTTTTTGATTGTGGCTAATATAACATATATAAAATTTAGCTATGTACTTGCCTGGAGTCAGTGTTGCTCGATATACTGACTCCGTCCCTTTGCCAAGTAAATTGAGGAGGCCTATCAGCTGTAGCTGCACATTGCATGCTGATCTGTAAAAACCTAATTGTAATTATTGGGAAATATATAATTATACTAGTTAAAAATTAAGTTATCAATCTAGGGTAATATTTTTGAAATTGAAACATTTCTTTTCTGTTTAGACTATCTATTTACATAGGTGTAACCGTGGGGCTGTACCCCTATTGTGTATTCTCCAATACAGTTCACGAATGGTGTGTTACGTGTCTCGCGAAATACGCCCCGGCTACATCGGTAATATTTTTACTTACAATATTCATGGGCGAGCCGGGGCGCAATTCCTCGCGAGACCCGCTCTTTCAGTTTGGTTTGCCGCATTTATATATTTAATAGTTTTTTCGCAGAACCGTTCCAGGCACGGTCTGTGCTTTATTAACATTCCTGTAGGCCGTTACGGTCTACAGTCATCTGCATTTGTTGCTTCAGGTCGTGCCTGGACGATGCGAATATAGGGCAATGTAGGAGCACATGTTCTGCGTATTATGTTACTAATATTAAGTATAAAGCTTGCTATGTTTGCCTTTAAATTTTTTAATGATATTTGGTTGATTTTAGATTTCATTGTTATTTTGAAAACGTTTCTAAACCTTTATAATTTTAATTAATAAATTTGTACTAGTATGGGTTTCTAAATTAACTTAATAACTAAGCTAACACATAAAAACTTATTGTTCTCTTTAAAAGTGTACTTACATCACCACCTGGAGTAAGTGTTCTTTCCGTGAAGTGCTGAGTCATCAGCACTCTGCCATCAGACATGCTTCGTCTACGTCGTATCCTTTCAATTGCACCTTTGAGAATGAAGGAATTGTATTATATTTTTTAACAATATAAAAAAATCAGTGGCTCTGGGCCTCAAATTTCTGAATATGTAGACATGATCATTTTGCAATCTAGGCAAGTAGTTGATCAGCCTCCAGTGCGTGACACAGGCCGTCGACTTTTTTGTGTTAGACATGTCGGTTTCCTCACGATGTTTTCCTTCACCGTTCGAGCGAATGTTAAATGCGCACATAGAAAGAAATTCCATTGGTGCACAGCCGGTGATGGAACCAACGACCAGTAATGAGAGCCGCATGCTGAAACCACTAGGCTAACACTTCTCTTAATTTTTTTACAATATACCTACCTATATATAAATTACAAATTATTGTTTTATAATGTGTGTACTGTTGCGCACCTACGCTATGTTAAACCAGCTACCTATCAAAGTATCTTCCTCAATCCCAATCCGAAAGTATACTTAATAACAGTAAATCATAAAAAAATATCCAACTACTAAGGTCTAAATCGATTAAAGTTATGTTTGATAGAACTGTCTTATTTCAAAATTTCTATTATTTTACCAAATAGCAATTATTATAATAAATACGCAATCAAGAAGTAAAACATGTTTATTTTAAATTTAATGCGTTATTTTAATGAGCTTAATTTATGACACAACAGAGTAAAGAAGGACGTACTGCTTGTACAGTTGCAGCAAGCAACCGGTGAGCAGTAGCACAGGACATGAAGCGGAACATTTTCAGAGGCCACACACACTGGGTAGTAGCACTAGTGTAAGATTCGTTGCTATCAACACTTCGTATAATCATATCGAGATGAAATCCAGTGGTGCTATAATTCTATAAATCTTGGCCTCTGATTGCTTCCTTTTATCATTTTTAAGCTATTGCATAGATTTTATCGCGGGCTTTGAGCGCGGCGACCGAATCATGAAATTCCGTAACGAAAATAAAAACCGAACACGTAATATAGGTGCGGCCAATACGCGTTAGAGCGGGACAGAACGCATACTGCATCTCACTTCGGTCTGGCGAGATCGGTGACGTAGCGCAGGTGCATTAGAGTGGGAATGAACGCATACTGCGTATTCCCATCTCACTGACGAGATTTGTGACGAAGCGTAAGCGCGGCCGGTGTAGCCGGTACCGTACGCTTTAGAGTGAGACAGACTAGGTATATAGGCGTGTTAGTCTGAGTCTGGTAGAGTGGTATAATATGATAAATAAATAATTATAATTGCATAAGTTAATAAAAAATGCTATGCAATACCTTTACCGCGGCAGTCCCCGAGGGCCACACATTTTTTATTATTTAACAAGATTAGCTTTCAACAATACAAAATTTGTGTGAATAATTAATAAAAATATTACTAAATCTCAGAAACCCAAGTACTGATAATATAAACACGGAAATTACTAGATTATTGGATTAGGGTCGAATGCGATTAGAGAGAAATGGTGTTAGCTGTAACGAAATAGCCACTGGCTCTCATTACCGGCCTCGTTATGACCACTAATCTAAATCTATAGGGCGACCATGATATAGTGTATATTTACTAATCGATACTTCATGTAATATTATGGGTAACAATGTAGAACGACACAATTTTTTGTATGAGTTTTTAATGTTCAGCCACAACCTTTTCAGGTCTGGGCCTCGGTGTTTGTTTTATGATCATTTATCAATCAAATAGTCAAGTATCAGCCTCCTGTGACTGACACACGCCGTAGATTTTTTGTGTCTAAGTCAAGCCGGTTTCCTCACGATAGTTTTTTTCACCGTATGTTTTTCCAACTGAGCGTTTTTCAAGGCAGTTTTCGCCGCGCACCACTTTGTGGAACCAGCTGCCCACTAAAGTATTTCCGAACCAATTCGACTTAGGGTCCTTCAAGAAAAGAGCGGACCAATTCTTGAAAGGCCGGCAACGCACTCGCGAGCCCTCTGGCATTGAGAGTGTCCATGGGCGGCGGTATCACTTAACATCTGTTGAGCCTTCTGCCCGTTTGTCCCCTGTCCTATATAAAAAAAAATGTAATAAGTGTACAAAGCAATTTTCGCTAGGTGAAGGGTAAAATAAATCTTATTTATCTCTACGAAATCGTCACCCTAGTCAACATAAACTACAGGGGATCATTTAAGGTAGCATATTGCAATCAGAGCGTAAATCAGTTGCAACTGAACAATGTCTATTAGTTATTACAGAAGATCATTACGGCAATTCTCATTATAGAAATTTACAATTTAAAAAAAACATCTAGTAGCAGTAAACTTTGTTAGTAAAATACGGAAGAGTGAACATACATATATTTTGCATGAACATCATTCTAAATGTATGGAATATCTAAGTGCATACTATATGCATACTTCATAGATAACACGTTCTAAAAATAAAAAAAAGGGTGCATGTACGCGCGTAAGAAGTTATACTTCATTGGCATTATTAAAAATAGTTTTTGATTGTATGCAAATAAATAATTACAATTAAATAATCAAAGACTGGAAAAGGAGTCATTATAGTCAATAAAGTTCAGTTTACATTTGAAAAATTAAATAAATAAATATTTATTATTATTCTCTTACATTAGTGTAACATAAATTCTATTATTATTCGAATGTTGTTTTAAAATTATGTCCAATGCCGTAGCATCTTCCGTGGGCAACTTCATTCTGTTAATTTTGTGTCACGGTGCGCGCGCATCGTAAATTATCACTCTCATCAATTTTTCATAACGTGCCTTAAGAAGAATAACTTCAAAAATATTTTTTTTAATATTTCAGCCGCTTTTTAATAAAAACTATTTAAATAAATGTACAAATAATGGATAGTACATTCATATGTAAAAGGCTCCGATACAAATCTATTTTAAGTGTATTTGTTTGGACGTGCAAAATTCTATATTTTACGTGCCAAGGGTTTGTTGACAACTGTTAAAATTATACGTGTGAAGACGATTAACAGTTCTTGGACTTCCATGTTTCCTCTGATCGTCACTAGTAGAGATAAGATTAGCACGTTCTACATACTGGAAGTTTTTTTTACAAATGTGTGATAGCTGTAATTTATATCCAAAAAATTATAAATAATAATTAATTATTTTATATCCAATTATAAACGCATATACTGGGTTTCGGTTTAGAATTATGCTCAAAACCTGGATAATCATCAGACAAGGGAAGTAACTTGGTCTCCGTTTAAGGTTTAAGGCTGGCTTTACTATCTTTAGGGAAAATTGACGGCTATAGAGAGCTGTATATAGTTTATTACTTAAGATGTCATGTGGAACATGGTGTAATGGTTGCAGCTCCTTACAAACGTTGTGTAAAACAAAAAAACTTGGCGATTAAAAAGAGTGGCGGAGAGTTTATTGCCAGTTCTTCTCTTCTGTTCTACGCCCTTGATTTGAGAACTGGCAATAAATTTAAAATTAGAAGCATTTAATGTACCTTTTTGACGTTCATTAGTGTACATTGTGTTACCTATATGAATAAATAATTTTTGACTTCTGACTTTTGTTAGTTGAGCTTTTAGTTATCATTTTATCAGTTACAGTTTATAGCTTCGCTTTTTTTATCTAACATTTAAATAAAGCAATCCAAAATAAAAATAAAACATATTAAATTCAAAAGTGAGCCCGTAAATAGTTTTTATTAATTTTCACTAAGTCTTTAAAAATTTATTTTTCACTAAAATAATCTAAAGTTAAAATCTAAACTTAACTTATCTTAATTTCCGAAGAAACATATAAAAAAAAATATTTTTTACAGTCTTTAATGTGCCGAGCACACTGTTTTTTTAACTGCTGATAATTTTTTTAACTAAATAGGTGTTTTCTTTCTCACTAAAGCTAGTTAGCCTCGACATTCGTGAGACTTCGGTCATGAGCTCCAGGAATGCTCCATAAGATTGAGGTGATCTATAATTAAGGCATTCTAATAAGCTACTATACTAATATTATAAATAAAAAATATTCACACACCTATTGTATCACTAATGTTACAAAAACACACAAAACAAACAATTATATTGTCGTTATATTTTTTATTATAGAATGCGACACTCAATGACAGAGACCTCGCGAGTGCGTTGCCGGCCTATTAAAAATTGGTATGCTCTTTTCTTAAAGGACCTAGAGTATAATTGTTTGGACATACTTCAGTGGTTAGATGGTTCCACATAGGTCGATCGGTCGGTCAAATCGAGTTTTAAGGTAAAAGCGACAAAACATCATTTAATAATTATGAAAACGTTTCTTACCCCTTCTGAGGGGCATATAGTGATTAACTCACATCATACACCAAGAAGGGAGCGAACAATCAACATAGCAATTTCCTTGTGGTTCTCCACAATAGCTACCGATAATGATTCGTCTGTGTATAGACGTATTAGTATTTGTTTGTTAATTGCCTACAGTGATTACTATATAAAGATCTTATAGGTAGCTTAGGTCATGCGTTCCAATCAAGGCTGTAAATTATTTTTTTCTTTCTATGTGCGCAGTTAAAACTTGATCTTATTGTAAGGAAACCAATATGTTTGAATTCTAGGAATCGAGATGTGTCAGTAGGTTGAACACTTGTCTATGATAAATAAAAATAATCAAAGAAACGGATCCAATTGGACCCATTTAGGCTTATTGCACCACTGGGTAATAATTATTTTACATATCTATCGAGAGGCTAAATTATATTAAAAAATAATATAATATACACACGAACTAATAGGATATACCTATAATACCAGTGAGATTACAGATATTGGTCGAGTATTTTGTTAAAACATACAACGGAAAATATATTGGTACAGCTGGTGCTTGAAGCTAGGACCTCTAGCTGCACTGCAGAATCACTACGCTTATTATTACTATAAGGAAACTTACCAGTATTCTGCGTCGAATCATTTTCATAATTTTCACCAGAATCAGAAGGCAACCTGTAACAAAAATATGACAATATATTTCGAGCGATACACTTTG